ATAATAATTATTATTTCTTCATTTTATGTGATTCCAAAACACACCTCTTCTCACACTATAGCTTTATCTCGATGAAAGTTTCTCTTCTCTGCCCATCTGAGCATTGGCATAAATTTTACTTCACTTTCTCCAGCTTTTATACCTCACTCTATTGCCCAAAGTAAGTTAAATCTCACGATTCTCTCCACCTACATCAATGCGCTCTCTATTCTAGATCCATATATAAGCTCCCTATTATTACTTCCTATTCACTTTTCACGTTGGCAGAATGTTATGACAGTTTTAAGTGCTTGCTGTGGGTTTCTCTTCAGTGTGGAATGGTTTTACTTATACCTACACTTTAGATGAAAGTGTCTCTTCTCTGCCCATCTAAGTATTGGTATGAATCTTACCTCTCTTGCTTCAGCCTTTATACCCCACTATATTGCCCAAAGTAAGTTAAATCTTGGGATTCTCTTAACCTATGTCAATGTGCCCCCTATCCCAGATCTATATATAAGCTCCCTGTTATTACTTCCTATTCAGTTTTCTCGATGGCAAAATGTTACAACAGTTTTACATGCTTGTTGCAAATTTCTCTTCAGTGTGGAATGTCTTTACTTATACCTATGCTTTAGATGATTCTTTTTTTTTTAGATCTGTCATCTTGGGTCTGGAGTTTGTTGTCTATTTTTTTATTTTACAGAGTAATGAAATTGAAATTTTGAAGTAATAGTTTTTCAAAGTGATTTCAGTAATATTCGGGGTTATAAATATTCTGAAAGTAAAAGTACACGAAAAAAAAAATCTGAGACATTTCAGATATGAATTCGTACATTCATGTCTCTGCCATGGAGTCTCCTGGTGCTGATACTCAGATACCACTTGTGTTTTGAGTTATCTGGGGGTTGGAGCTTTTTGCGGAAGATGTCCAATCATTCATATGCAGAGAGATGGAGTTTTACATGAGGTCTGATGTTTCTTCTCCTGTTGGCTCAGAGTCTGAGCTTTTGGGGAATCAGGGATGGACTAGTGCAAATTTGGACTCCATTTTCTGGCACTTTCCTTTGCTCGGATGGACATCTTGCCTCCTGCACTGTCTTTGCAACTAGTACATCCAGTTTCTAATGTCTTGAGCATTTCTCTTGTGGCTTACAACTCTTCTCCTTCTTTGTTGGGGGGAAAGTCATTCCTTGATTACCTGGTTTTTTTGCCTTTGCCAGACATTTATGATCAATTGAGAGAGGGTGCTGCCATGCCTTGTCTACCCCATTTGTCAGATCTGCATCCCTTAGCTTTCTATTGCTTGAACATCCCATATTTAGATTCTGAGAAGTTAGATCCTCTTCTTCCTCTTTGGGGTTCTAGGCTCGATGCCACTCTTTAATTTTCATAGGATCTTAGTCATTCATTGACTTTACTTTGGTCAGTTATTCCCTGGTGGGACAGCAATAAATTCCAGACTTGCATGGCTAGAATCCAGGGTTAGATTTCGTACAGTGGACACAGCAAATGGCCCAAGGTGGCTTTGCTCTTCAAACAAACACATATAAGGACCAATATATACACCTGGAAAAAAGTTAAGCACCCCCGTGTTTTTTTCAAGTGATTCAGATTCGACGTTCTTGTGACTGATTATAAATTACCATTCAATCTAAACGTGTTTATCAAATGAAATTATGCATTATTGG